AACTAAAAGAGGGGAAATTCAGACTAGATATGAGGAACAACTTTTTTACAATGTCAATGGTGAAACACCGGAACAGGTTGCCCAGAGAGGTGGTAGATGCCTGGAAACACTCAAGGTCAGGTTGGACGAGGCTCTGAGTAATGTTATCTAGTTGAAGACGTCCCTGCTCACTGCAAGGGGTTGGACTAGGTGATTTTTAGAGGTCCCTTCCAACCCACACCATTCTATGATTCCTGAAAACAGGTTTCTTATTCAGGACATAGTCTGGGTATTCTTCTCAGTAAAAAATATGTACTGTTTCAATTTCTTGAAAACATACGTGTCACCATCAGATCAGGTCTCATCTCCAGTGTGAAAGCCCTAATTTACAGCTTGTTGCCTCCAAGAGGGATGAATATTCACCTACCTCTCTCTGCCTACTCTATGGCATGTTTTCTTTTACCAAACATTATATTCTGTAACAGCATGTACATAAGCACACTGGATACTTGTGTATGAATGGTTCCGTTTCTTGGCTGAGTGGTACTCAAATGATTGTATTTAACCACTGGGACAACTTGTACCTCTCTGCCCTTATTCCACAGCATCCACAGCATCCTTCTGTTCAGCATACCATTCCAAGGTGCCAGTTGCTTTTCAGGACTGACACTCCATACACATATATATAGATATGTTGAAAAAAATGGGGTCAGCCAAAATATGATTCAGTGCAACCATTAAAAAAATGGGGAGGAAAAAAAAATACAGACCCTTTCACGAAAGTGTCAGATGTGCCTCCTGATTTCACTGCTGTTAAATTCTTTGCTTCTTTGATGAGGACTTCTAATATACCTCCAGATGGCATGTGAGAGTCTCCCTTTTTCCCTTTTTTAAAGCTCTTCTTTCCTATACATAGAACAGAGTTGCAACATCATCATCAGAATTTATATATGTACTGAAAGACTGATTTGGAAATGTAAATTGTCTTGGCTCTTTAATCATTTACTGCACTGCAATTAAAGTATTCCTTATGAGGAGATTCTGATTCTTTGTGGGTAGAGAAAGTATTAAGGCAGGGGCAGAAAAATCACTCCATATATAACAAAGAACTTGGCAACGTAGCTAGTCCTTACTGGACACAACACAGTGCCCTGTCTGAAGCCCTGTCCAAATACAAGTATTTATAGATTACTATGCTCAACACAAAGAACTGTATGTCCAGTTAAGTCCTACCCTCTTCATAATCCCCTTCCACCACTGATGTCAAGGAAGCCCTACACCACCACAAGTGAGGTATAAAACCTCTGTCCCAAAGCTTAAAATGCAGGAATATGCCCAGTGTGGTCCATGCATAAGGATGCACTGCTCCTCAGAGACCATGACAAAGGGTGCAGTGTTCACCCACACACAGTGACTTGAACAGCAGCTTGAGGACATGTGTACTTGTTGCTGCTCCAGATTCCAAGAGGCTTATCAGTAGGGATCACACACACTGACTCAGGCCGAAAACATCAAGGAAAGAAAGATTGGGAGTGATGTTAAAATGTACTAATTTTTAAAAACGCAGATAGTGTATATCTGGACAACTAGCACATTTAAGTATTATTTCAATCTTGATTAATACTGTTACTTCACCCTAGGTGAGGATTTTTAATACTCAGAGGGAAGTTATCATATGCTGCCATCAATGCTTGTTTTACCTTGAAACTGCCCTAGAGGAAGCATTAGGTTTCTGTCTGGGGGAATATAACGTAAAACAACTGTCAGTTCTCCTTTATATTGAAGCCCAACATCTGTCACAACCTCCACCTGGAAAGAAAACAAACAAAACAGAACTCCAGGTAAGGGTAATCATTCAGCTTTTCTTTTTGATTTTAATTTTGTTGTATCAGTATAGTGTTTGAAACACTTCTTGAACATATCAAGACACACCAAACTGCTTTCAGATAATCACACATTCCAGATTGAAAGCAATCACATTTTAGAAAACTTTATGAGCTAGGGAATGCAAGCTCTCAGAAGAATAAAGCCACACGGCATTAGACACTGTTCAGTGAACATACAGAGGAGAGAGAGATCTAGCATGAATAAGTGAAGCAAACAAACAGAAAAAGCATCAAACTTATTTCTGGGCATATAAACTGAAGCTAATTTAAGCTGACATTCAGCCCTTATTCCCCCAATCAGGACTTTTAAACCGTAATTGGTTTCACGTATTTTAGAGGAGTCACTCCTGAGTCACTCTTGGAATACAGGTGTGGGGAACAAAGGTGAGAGAAGAGAGCAGACTGCAGCTCTGAAATAGAAAAACTCGAAAACTGTTATTCCTGGTGTCCTTTTCCTTTTCTACACAGCTACTATTTCTGCATCTTTTTGTTTTATAAATGTTTGAATCTTGCCCAGAAAGAATGCATTTAGTGCTCTTCAGAGCATCCTTGTTAAAAGAACATTAGGCCTTCACTGACGTGCGCTGAACTTCATTCGCCTTGTAAGAAGGTGGAAATTACATTTTAAAAACAATAGAGGCAACACAGAGAGAACATGTCACTTCACACTGACTTCTAGAAAAATAAAGTACAGTGAAAAAAGAAGTCTTGTGCATTTACATTAGAGGTCAGGTCTATGAAAAACTCAGGCATACTCTAACCTTGCTCAATGACGTCCACTAATGGAGGAGGACTACTGAGATGCTCACGTGCCTGTACATTCTTCAGTGCTTAGGTTTGGGTACAAATAAACAAATCTTCCTGATCTCCCAACAGAGACAAAGTACATGTATAAAGAGAGAGGACCCTCGAGTGCTGCGAGACACACACCAAGGCACCACACCAGCCTTTAAAGAACTGCTTATAGACAAATGTCTGATCTGTGACAGTATTTCTCTGAGATGCACTCAGCTTGTTTCCTGACTCCCCAAGGAGGGTCAAAATTCTATTATCAAGAGAAAACAGAACCAAAAAAACCTCACCAGAAATACATACAGCAATACACAGAGTCAGCACTGCCTTCATATCAAAGGCCCCAGGCTAAGGCACTAATACGTTTAGTGGGGCCGAGTTCCGTATGCAAGGATGGGACAGGGAACAAAGCAACTTTAATGACTTTGAAGCACTTTC